TTGGATTTGCAAGCTCTCCTAGGCAGAGCTGGCTGATGTTTCAGATCCGCTTCTCATACAAAGAGTAGGAAGTGTTCAGACATTAGAGTGGAGGAAGCCTTGGCTGCCTTTGCTGAAGAACCCCAAACCTTGTGACCGATGCAAGCCATGTCAACAGCCTTACTGCAAACCTACCCAGCCCTATCACAACAAGCACTTGAAAGTGCCACTACCCAGTCCCTCCCTCAGATACTATTAGCAGCAATTATTTTTAATAAAATCAGGCACCAAAACACAAGCCGTTTCCACTGCATGTCACACCCATAGATACATATCACACTTCAAACCTGGCTTACAAGTTACATAGAATGGACTTGTTTGGCGCAGACAAGAACTGCTTTGAGATCTTTTGTCAGGTACTATTGGTTTCATTAATAATCTCTGAGGTTCCTCAGGGCTATCATAAGCATTTTTAACAGATTCTCAGGGTGGTTGAGGGGTTTGTAGCATTGCTCACCTTGTGTGGACACACATAACTGTATGCATGCAAATAATGCTATTTATGCTTGGTGCTGTCACTAAACAGAAAGCTCAGTGTGTGTGTCATGTTTGATAGGACAGAGAACAAAGGTAAATATGAACATATTTTATAGTTGTAAAAGCTAATTACTTTATATACAGTGTATATTGTTTGAGTTTAAGAAATTGCATGCAAGCATATTCGTACCTAATCACAAAGTATTCTGGTGCTTGTAATAGAACTCATTAAAAATAATGTTGGTTATTCTAGGATACAGTGCAGTAAGCTTGTTTCTTAACCATTAAGCAACAATAAAGATTTATGTGCTGTCCTTTACAGTTCTGCTAGTAGTAATAAAATAATACTAATTTATTTACATACAAAGGTATTTATTTTATTTAAAAATACAAGCCAGGCTTTTAATGTTACATGACATCCTCTTTAAAAAGGCCTAATTAAAACAAACACTGCATTACTTTGACAGCTAAAGCTTTACGAGAAATTTTGTTTCTTCACAAAATCAAGGATTCTTGCCTAACTCTTGTCCACTCAGAACTTCAGTACAGGATCAAACACTTCTGAAAATTCTCTTCCCCCCAGAGCAATACCTCTGAAATCTCAAGTTTCAATCATGTCATCAGAAGGTATTCTTATAAAGGGAAGTTTTCAAGACCGGAGAAGGTGAGTGAGGAAAAAATAACTGATTTTTCTGATAGTGGATTCAGGCACATAAAAATCTGTGAGCAAATTGAGTCTTTCTGTTGATCAGATTACAAGGGCAATATTTTGCAGCTTGTATGTGTGGACTTTGGGTTCAGCAATTTACCATTGCACCTGAAATATACCACTAATAGTTTTTAAAGTTAAATTGCACAATCCTTATGCAGACAAATTTCCCATAGGAACTGTGTTTACATAAGGAGTGTAGGATTTTGTGCACAACTCCTTGTAAATGTGATTACCATTAACTCCTAGAACTGAACCAACAGTGTTTGTTACCTTTAATTACACGTGGTAAATATAATTTTGAATTCAGACTGTATGTTAAAGCTCAAGGTCCCTAGCAGTGATATTTTGCCATCTAATGGATGAAGTAAAAATAACTACTCAGGCTACCTGTTGTTTAGGAAAGACAATACAATAAGAATGTTTTTCTTTCCTGGTTAAAGAAAATGATGACTGAGGAAGCTGCTCTGCCAGCCTAATTAAACCAATACAGATTTTGTCAGCTTGCTTCCACCTGCTTCCATAAGGAACTGCTTGCTGGGTGGGTACTTGAAGCTCCTCTCTGATAACAAAGCTGTCTAAAAACTGCATCACAGGGCTTGTGGAGAAAAGGCAGGTATTATATCCTACACTGACACAACACACTTGTATTTACAGTTGCGCTCAAATATGTGAGAATGCATGTGTATAAATGCTGTAAAATCTATGGAAAAATCTTTGAAAGTGTCTGTAAATGAAAATACCTTGAAATTACTAGATCATGTGCCAGTAGTTGAATTAGCTCCACTAAGCTGAAACTTATGTATCCTGTGTCACTTGATGATCTGCAGGACATTCAAGTTTGGCTTAATGAAACTAATTTTAAGGTTTGCTAGTAATGTCATTCTATCTAGAGTATGTTAGCTGGAATTCTTTCTGGTTCATGATTATTTTTAAGTTCCAAATGTAAAGTTAATGGGGTGTTTGCAGAGTAGTCTCAGAAAAAGAGAGAACAAAAAAATCTCAGCAAGATGACTCTAGAACAAAATTGTTGTAACTCATAGTTTCCAGTATATTCTCATTTATACTAGGATTGTTGCTGGAGCTAATGAGGCTTGAGAACAGTTAGCACTGTCAAATCACAATGAAATCCAGAGACTTTCAGTAAAACCTTTCTCTAACAAAGCTGTGAAAGCTGAACACTTGGCATACTAAGAGGAACAATGATTCCACACAACATATTGCTATATATATGTATGCTATAGTATTACAACCACATATTTAATCTTCTAGAATGAATTGGAATATTTTGAACATTGCTCAGAAAAAAAAAGAAATATTTTTTAGTACTCATAGAAAAGATAATACCTACAGAATATACTATCTATTCTGACAAGACAATGGGAAACAGAACTGTCAATTCATTGTGTGCTTCCTCCAAGTAAAACTATAGTGATAACCAGAGGATATTTTAGTAAAACAGCTGAATCACCTCTCTTCAGTGGAGCAGAAGACTAGGATTTAAGGCACATTAGTCTGCCTGCTACTGATTTGACCCTACTGAGTGATGATTCTGTTTTGGACACATACTGTGAGTTTTCTGCAGCAATGAGAGGAGATTTATCGGAAGATGATTTTCTCAGAATCAAAGTGATGATTTAAAAACATGTTAATCATGTTGAATTCCATTTAGTTCATTTAGTTTTTTAGTTCAGATGGAGTCAGCGTGGAATTTAGTTGTTAACTGAGAAAGCTTAACACAGTGAATGGATGTTTGTGGAGAAACATGAGTGTGTACATTTTTTTTTGTCTTCGTCCTTGAAAGTTACATGCTGCTCAGTAGGAAATCTGGGTGCAGCAGCTACCAAGATCAAACAACTCACTGCTGTATGATAGTTGTTTAAAACACGTGGCATGCTTCAGTATGGAATCTTTAAACAAAACAGTTCAAGCTTGTGGCTGTTGCTACACAGACTGTATGCAGATAAGTCACAAATAGCTGAGCATATGTGTGGTGCAAGGTTAAAACAATAACAAGCAGGTCGAATCATTCAAACACTGGAAATCACTTTGACTCCAGGCCAAAAGCTTAGCTTGAGATTATATCAGTATGGGATAGAAAGAGGATAAACTAACAGGCTTAGCAACAAGCTTGTTGGAGTCAGCATATAGTATCTATACTTCCAGCAGGAGAGCAGATGGTCATATATTTAAGGAAGCACCAGACAGGGAGTCAGGAGATCTGAATTCTATTCCTGGTTCTGCAGCAGTGTTCCTATGTCACCTTGGGGAGCCACTTTTCCCCTGTTTTTCTTAATCTTTTAAGTAGTGGAAATAATATTTGCTTCTCTAAGAGGGCAGTTAAGAGGCTAAACTGATGCTGAATAAAACTCTCTGAAGTTCTGAGAAGAATATATGGAAGCAGTGCAAAGTAAACTTTTTTGGAAGAAAGGACACCACAAGATTTCATATGGCACGTTTGTGCCACATGTTTATGACCTTTCCTCCCCCCAGAAAGTCGCATGCCTTTTTGTGCACAGTTTTCAAGGAGGGAATAAATGGATTAAGCTGCCTTCCACATTTGCTAGAAAGATAAGCAGCTGCCAATAAGAACCTGACCAAAGAACAGACTTTACTACTGAGAAAGACGTTATTTATGCCCAAGAGGGCAATAGGCTTGTTGAAGTTAACTGTTCACCCCAAAATACTATTTTGCATTGGTGGCAGAACAATGTCTCTAATGGCCTTTATTCTGAATTCAGCAGTGCTGCTTGCAAGCTGAACATAAGTACAAAATTAAGTATTGTCTTTTATGAACAAATTTTCTGCTGAAATCCCAAAACAAGTCCATTTCTTAAATCAGAGAAATGTCCATGATTATTTGCACTGTACTTTCATTTAAAGGCTATTAAAATCAACTAGATTTCAAAGGAATCTGAATCAAAGACTTAGCAAGCAACTGTCATTTCTCCCGAGTTCTATTCCCATTAAGCAAAATGACCTTATCTATCTTTGTAACTATTTGGCATCATAGGAGTAATGTTTTCACTACAGAATAAACAGCTTCTGCTTTTGATGTTGAAGGTGTAAGCTTTGGGCTTCCTGAAGAACTGGGCTGTATGTTTAACTGTAGTCTATAAATGTTTACTCTTCATATATGAACTTAACAAGAAATTAAATATTTCAGATAGTAACCAGCCCACTGTTTTAAGTATATAACACAGAGACACTCTTTATGACAGTGTAGAGTTGTTAGTCTCTGGCCAGAGACTGATCTGGTCCAAATGAAAGTGGTTTAGATGAGACTCTGATGTTCCCATCTTTCCCTTTTACAGGAGTGTTGGCTATTCTTTTATGTCCTCTTTTTAGTTAGGCAAGTGACAGAATAGCAGTTAAAAGGTCAAAGAATTGTTCCATAAAGACATAAACACAAGAAGAAAGAGAGTAAGGATGGAGCTTTTTTTACCATTGTTCTTTTGTTCTTGCCCATCCCCATGATTTTTATAAACTGATCTTCACTAGTTGACATGGACCTTGCACTACCAATTTTGTCACATAACATTTTCAAAGATAGAAAGGTGACATAAAGAAAAATCTTCTTACTTCTTAGAAAAAGTGATTCAGTGAGAATGTTGCTAATTATGTTTGTGTTTTGGGGTATGGAAGAGAGCTTTAAGAATTGAGAAAAAGCAGAACTATTTACAAGTGAAGTTAATGATTCAACAAGGGCAGATTTCTTCCTGGATAAGTCTAGTTATATATTATAATTGTACAAATCAAGTGTTCAGTCCAGATCTATCCTCCTTCTCCTCTCTAGTCCTGCACTGTCGGTGCTTTGCACAAAGATGTGGCTTTCTCTTGGGATCGTCTTTTCTCTGGGGATGCTAATTCCTGGAAAACTCAGCTTGAAATTGCAGTATGACAGGTGAGTGTGAATGTGGTATCATGAAGAATTGTACATGCAGTGAAATTCCCAGGAACTGTGAAAGAATAATAACAATTATGAGCTGAAGACCTGGAGACAGGGTTACTAAGCTGTAAGCTTTGTAAGAGTTGTGAACAAAACATAAAGATGAGAAATGAAGAATGAGTGAATCAAATCCAAGCCAACGAAGATACAGCTGCAGCAGCAGGAGCCACAGAATGGCCCTCAAATGCACCTCAGGATGCTCTGCTTCCATTAGCTGAAATTCATTTGGCTTAGCCTCTTTCATAATGAACTTTGAAATCAGATGTTCTAGGAATAAAATGTCTTTTCTGAGTATAAAGCAAGGGAGATGACTGAGCAAAATTATATCTATTAATAAAAGACAGCTTAGGTTACCTGAAAAAGATAGTGAAGACCTGTTGGAAACCTGTAACAATTGTTAAAAAATGCTAAGGAAGTTGTTCCAGACAATCTTTCATCACTCAAAGAATGAGATTATCACATTTTTTATTACTGATTAATGTTTCTGAAAAGCATGAAATCTCTAGTTTTGCTGTATTTTCCATTCTTAGTTCCACTTCTTCAGAAAATGAGTGATGCAAAATCATGATGTTTGCCTAAACTATTTTTGTTTCAGTCATCTTCAGCTTCCAAGGAATGATAGGTCACTCTGCCATTGCAGGAGCTGGGATTTTCAGGAGGGACGGGAGCACAGTGTGGAGACCACCATCCACGTATAAGTTTATACAGGGAATTTTCTAAAGTAAACAGAGAAAGTAGTCCAGTGCTGAATGCCTCTAGACTAATTAATCCCCAGAATACAGTCATAAAAAGGACAGAAAACCAAGCAATACCTATGGCAAGTAAGTTAGTTCAATGTATAACCATTCAACAGCTCTCCTGGAAAATCTTCTAGGAGAACATAAAGAGTCACTATTTAAAATGTGTTATTTCCCCTGGATAATATTTAGCTTTAGATTTGTATTAGGGATGCAGTCAGAGCCTGTTGATTTCAGTGAATAGAATTCAGCAGATCCTTGGTAATGCAGTGTTAATTTTTGTTCCTAATTACTGTCCAGGACTGAACCTGTTGAGTACTTGCATGGAATTTAAAAATAAGTATCGTATGGTCATTGTGACTTTGGATGGGCAGCACTTGCATAGAGATGAAATTATTAGTAAAGCCCATTTTCATTGTTATTTGCTCTGTTCAACACCTTAAATGAAATATCCGATCCATGAGAATCCAAGGAAACACAGCTAGTCCTGAGAACAGCCCTTTAATTTGGTAAGAAAGCTTAAATAGCATTTTAAACACTGTAGTTCTCTTGTGGTCACATGGGCTGACTTTGCACTTCTCCACTGAGAAACTTAGTCCATAATCATAAACGAATGTGTGCTTTCTAATCTTAGTTTACTATTAAAAATTATTTGTCTCCACACTGGCTATTGTGAAAGGTTTATCAGTAAATAAGAGCTGGCCATCTGGCAGCAATCTGACTGTCTGGAATTTCTCTGATTTGGTGTAATTAAGACATAATGTCAATGAGGATAGAAAGATATTACAGGATATTGTTTCCCTTCCTGATAGACAAAGAGCAAAGCAAGCCCAGGCATTTAGAGAGAATAAACTCTGAACTGCAGCTGAGATGTTTATTCTGCTAGCAAAGATGTTTATCCTACATCTACAAGGTTTATTACAAAGATATCATGGCTGTTGTACCAATCACTAGCAATGGACATGGAGTCATTTTGCCCCACAGACAAGGGATTAACAGCAACTTGCAAACCAGTAGTAAATGGCCCATTTTAACTACCAAGTTCTCTATCAGCAAAGGTTATATTTTCAGGAAAGATGTAAAAAATCAAAAATCCTCCTATTTGTCTGGGGATGAAGTGAATGAATAGTGAATTTTATTTGCATGTCTATTAAGCTGATAATTGTACATTTCTGTATGGAAGCACAAATGATGGCAGTTGCAGTTCAGGTGATGAGAGCATATTGAAGACTGTAATGACCATGGCTTTAATAAAAAGCCATGCAAGGCTTTTGCAACATGAACTTCTCTTACAAAGTCTTTAAAATGTTCTTTTTTTTGGTACTTGTCCTGTAAAGGCTCCAAGGTCCATTAAAGCCATTACATGAGACTGTGAAGCAGTAGTTGTTGGTTGCTAACAAATAGAAAAATTTCTAGGATTCCCCATTCTGTCACAACAGTAGTGGTTAAGTGCTATCTCACCTTTGAGTAATGCAATGTAGTAATCAACATCCACTCCTCACTCTGAAACCCTTTCATTAGAAATGTCACACTTGCTATCAGCCAGGAAAGCCAATCTGAACAAACACTGAGAAAAAAGAATAGAAAAATAATTACAAGGACTTTTTAAATACAGCATACAGATTTGTTATTTTCTGCATTTCAAACCATTTTGATTTGTTCCTCATAAACTTCCAATATTTTTGTCAGTTTAAGCCTGTAGTAAATGAAAGTTTCATGGGGCTTCATGAAAATAGATACTAAGACACTGGATCTGTGTGTCTTTTCTAGAAATATAAAATGATGGATCCTGTACCAGAAATTTTTATTTTCTGTGAATTGAGTAAGAATATGCAGTTCTGGAGACTACAGTATTCACTATTTGTGGAATAAATTGGCTGTTTTCATGACAAGCAGTTTGTGGACATGTCAGGTTCTAAGCAATGTTCATTTATCTTAACTATCTTATGTTTTTGCATGCTGAAAGAGATCAGCCAAGCATCAAGTCAATCTGGCATAACTGAACAAATCCCAATGAGAGGAAATAGAGAAGTGACATCTAATCAAATAAATAGTTTATCATATATTACCAATGTTCTCATTTTGGCCCTGGTCCTGCAAAGGCAGAAACACACACCAGGGCTCATGAGAGCAGCTGGCTCCAGTGAAACTGGTATGGTGAATAAAGGATTGCCACCAGCAAGGAAGCAGAGTGGCTAATGCTCTAGCAACAGAAAACTCACATCACTTAGTCCTGTTTGCAGCTAAAACACTCCAGGAATTCATCACTCAGACACATTTTTGTTGAAACAACACTCAGTTACATGCTCTATCTTCCCTCTGAGTAACAAAATATCTCCTTTTGACTTATGAAATCATGGATGCTTTAACAGACATTAAAATTGATCTTGTTTCTTCATTGAATTTCCAGGGATCAGGTTTTGCATATTGTGCCAGAAACATTTCAGCAAGTCCAGCATCTTCAGCTTCTTCACAGTACTTTACTCGTGAGTAAGAATAACCACATGTACCTGAAAAGCAGAGTATGGTCTTGGGCTGTAAAACAGGTGTGCATGTAGCTTTGGACAGGGGTGAAGCTTACAGTAAACTTGAAAAAGCTTTACCTAACCTTTTTTTGGTCTTAGTGTAGGATAAAATTGGTCTTCTACTACATGAAGGAATTTATGTGAAGAAGTTAGTTTCCTTGTATGGCTCTGTGAAGGTGCCGCTTTCTATCAGTGGTGCCTGAGTCAACAGAAACACTAAGCCTGTGCTGCATGCTCTATGAACAGATGACGGGAGAGTTACGGGGAGAAGGAAAACTTCTTTCATTTATTGATACGAAGCTACTCTATCTTAAATACATTTTCTTACTCTGAAAACAGAGCTTCACTTCTGCATTTCTTTCTTCTCTCTGCACAGCTGGATTTGTGGAAGCCCTTGATACCTGAAGACATCACGGCTGGAGAAGACCTGCACATAAGGGTCCCAGCCCCTCTGGTGCAGGAGGTGAAAGACAGCTTAGGTCAGCATATGATCTCTTACAGGTACAGCCTCTAATATCCTGATGGGAAAGGTGGGCTCTAACAATCTTCCTTGCCATCACAAAAGGACCCAGTCTTTTCCAATAAACAATCAGCAAGTACTGGCAATAGAACCCAAACTTTGTTCCAAATACCTGCAACTTACCTTGACCAGCCAAATGCACCGATGCTGTATAAACCTTCGAGTTTTAAAAGCACATTACCCTATGCCCTATTTATTCACCTCCCAACTATCCTGGACTGTGAATTTGGAGCTGGGACCTGAGACGGCCCAATTTGTCTTGTTTCCTGCTGTTGCCTTCTCAGTGGCAGAGATGGCACTTAGATGTATGACTCAATTTTTAATCTAAAGTCAGGAAGTCAAACTTGGTACAACCAGTATTTATAGGAGCATGCTTTGCTCTTGAAAACATAGATATTTGAATGCTCTCCTATTTTGGAGACCCCAAAGATTTAATCAGTGTCACTGCAGAGAAGTTTCTAGCTCTCCTTTTCCCCTCCCTGTCTTTTGTTGCTCCTCTGGTTTGGAGAAGAGCCCTTTCAAAGTGAATAGTCATCCAGTTTCTTCAAGGCTGCAGTTTCCTACCCCTGTCCCCACCACCAGGCTGGTAAGAATTTCCTGACACCATCCAGCCAGAGACATCCCATCTTGGGACAAAGATCCCGGTGGCAAATGCCCACTGTGCACACAACTGGGAGCCATGACCTACAAATGGCCCACGATGCTTTGTCACACCTACCCAGCCATATGTTGCCGTGCTTTTACTTCCCAACCAGAAGATCTAATCCAGATACAAAGAGTGTTTATAAAGCCAAATGGGATTAAATAAGATCTATTCCTCACACAGTCCCGTTCCCATTTAGAACTGACTCTTTCAGGTAACCAGTAGCTAATTTAATTTAGCTGTATTTAATATAAACAATCCTGAAGTCATTCAGGGCTGATGACAAATGGCCTATAGACATACACTGGCATTTACCAATCAAAGATAAGTTTGAGGATTGGTGCCACTTCAAAGCTGTTTTGAGTTAAAGCTGATCTTGACATCTTGTATCTTGAGTTCTTTTAGTAAGTGTGATGTCCTGACGACCAGAGATGAAGATACATGAGGTTGGAGCCAGTGCAAATGATTTAGCATCAGGTTTAGGTATTCAGGACAATATTCCAGAAGATATTTAACATGTTATTTTGTGTCAAGGCTCTTCATTTTCTAATGTTTTCTACTGATTCTAGTCAAAAATTAAAGAGTAAACTGAAGTTAGCAACTTAACTTTGTTTTCCCTTGGTCTGGGGCCAGAACTTTATCCACCTTACACAGGGCTCTAGAGAAAGAGATGAGATTAACAGTCAAGCTGAAATTCCAAAGGGGTTGAGATGAGTATGACAATGTTAAAGTTCCTATAATACATTCAAAGCAGGAACCACCTTTTAGAAGGCAGCTGACATGCAAAGAAGGTAACATGACAGTCAGGTATATAATGATAGAGACATAAATGGCAAATTATAATCAGGACATCAATATTCTGACTGTGTCAGACTCTGGGATTTCAATTCTCCAGGGCACTGATAAGGTATTTTGTGTGTGTGGGTTCAGTTCATGGGAATTTGCCCTCCCTGAATTTTAGTTTGAAGTTTAGATGTGAATAAACATCAAAAGCTCAGAGTGAAAGTCAGCTGTAACTACTCTTAAGAATTTCTTACGTGCAGTTTACAGAAATGCCGATCACAGCTGCTGTCAGCAGAAAAGCCCATTAGCACTTACAGCATTGGAGATCAACAGTGTTTGAGCTACCTTTGCAATTGTCTTATCGCAAGTATTTACGATGAGTACAGATTTACAGCAAGGGGCTGATTGCAGTGAGAAAGAACAGCCTGTGATCCAAAGTCCTCTGAAGCCAAGGGAACGATTTTATTGACTCCCTTGATCATGGAATCACACCTGTGTTATACTAATTACTGAGCAAATTTTGTGGCTAAAAAGCAAAAAGAGCTACTTGAAGGAAATAAGGGGTTTGTTCTGATTTTTGCCAATTGCAATGAACACATCTTGAAGTCTTTGTATATTGAAAATGTCTTAATAAAATGCAATGAAACACTAATCTTAAATTTATCTTTCCCTTCTTTTTCCCAAAAGGTGGTATTTTCAGAGTTTTGCTCAGAAATAGAAGTGGTGAAGAAAAATATTGAACTTTTTACTTTTGGGGGGAGAAAATCAGCAATTTTTTTAAAAATCTTGTAAAAATGATTGCATTATTGTTAAAACCCTGTGAAAAATCTCAATATCTTGAACTTTATCTTACATGAAAGCTACCATAATGCTGATGGTGATGATTTTGCCAGGCAATCCACAACAGAAGGGGCTAAATCCTTTCATTTGCTGATGTAATGTACAGTGTAACCACCATGATAGTTCTGCAGTAACTGTTAGGGATTGTTTTCTATCTTCCTCTTCCCCTCCCCTCAGGGTCCTAATACCTGATGTACAGGAACTTGTGGATCTGAGCATGCCAAGGGAGAGGAGCAGCCATAAACAGGTCCAAGAAGGTTATGTCTACACCCAATATCATCCAATGGAAGAGGTAAAGAACCCAAGTCTGCTTGTGTTCTTTGTTAAGTTTTGAAAATGCTACAGCAGGCAACTCTGTGCTTGCAGAAAGCTCAGCTGAAGTCAGTGAACCTCTTTCTGGCTTTCTTCTTTGCAGAATCAGTCCTTACTCTTTGACTAGAATCTTGGTGTGGTTGAATTGAACATGGATTTGCCATTGATTGTGATTAAATCCTCAGTTCCCCACTGACCAAAACCCAAATGCTCTGCATGAAGCAGCCACACTGTTTTGCAGATGATATTCTGGGGTTCAGTTGATTGGTTTGCTACCTTTCTACCCTGTTATGCTTTATCATTGTCTCTAGCCTTTATTCATTTAAATCCCTGTTTGCTTGATGCTGAGCCAAATGTGAAGTGCAACAACTATTGTGGTGTCTGGAATCCGAGAGGAGGAAGAGGTGAACAATGGGAGACCTGTAGAAAGAAATATTTTAAAGGCAGGTTTTTGATAATTTGGGAGAGAATAATGTCATAAGGGTGGGCAATGAAGATTTTTTGGTATTATGTTTCACAGGCGAGTCGGTAAACCTGGACAAAAGCAGAGCATGGTGGTATTCTTCCTCCTAGATGCATAATAGAAGTGAGAGAACAGAGTCAACCCTCTGGTATATTTTGTTTGAGCTACCTATTTGGGGTGCGTGCTGCTGAACTCAGATGTGGAATATCAGTACTGATAGGGAAGAGACTGTAATACTGCTTTGAAGATTTGATGGTGTGGCTTCACATTTGGTGAACTCAACAGGGAGATACCCAATAGGATGGGCATGTTGAATGACATCCAGAGTGGAGTATCCATGTTGTATTGCAGTGATGTCATCTTTTAACACCCCGTGAGATATGACCATGCATGTGAAAGACCTTCCATGACTACGAGTGACATCATAGATTGAAATGAGCTCTGAGGAAAACGTTACTTGTCTAAACAAAAGCAAATGTTTTAATCTGGAAACGGAGGTGGGAAAGAGAAGGAAACTCCAACTTTGGACAAAGAATTCTCTGTGACTATTTCAGATTTATCAATGGATGACTCAGATCCAGAAGAACTACAGTGAGCTGGTCACTCAGAACTTCCTGGGGATGACATTTGAGAATCGACCAATGTATTATCTACAGGTAAAGGAGGAACTTTCTCTTAATAATAAAAGGAACCTTAACAGGAAAAAAAATACACAGAAGAAGACAGGATTTGGATATTTCCCAAGATAGCACGAGATAGTTTTACTCCTTCACAGTACAATAAGATTTGCCAACTTTGATATACACTATCACCATAAGCTTGCTATTGCTATTATGTAGTGAAAACAAATTTAACTAAAGTTTTGTTTAGAAATAAAAATCAAGCTGAAACTAGCTTGGCAACAGCTGTGTGAGGATAAAGACTTTTGGTTTGTTGGTTTTGTTACTTCTTTCAGTATATAGCTTTTCTGCTCGGAGTATTCCATGACATTTTTTATTGGGCCCACTAGCAAAAACCATAGTCTTAATATTTGGGTTAGCTATTGTCTAATCTGTCCTTATCACTGCGTAAAATTAGATTCCCTGCCTTTTTCTGCTTCCCCTTCTAAAAAAAATATAATAAAAAAAGGATCTCCAACTAAGAACAACCACTCCTGTGAATGACTAATACAAATGAAAGAGGGGAAAAAAAGAGAAACCGTTCTATTAACTGTTATATTGATGCTTCTGCTCAACAGACACTTTAAAGCTCATGCCTTGAGATACTACAGAGATGGGGTTATTAGGAAGGAAAGCTTGTCATAATGATGTCTGTAATAATAATAATCTCAGATGGCTCAATGGCATTTCAAGGCACATCCTTACTTTCTCTATTACATTAGGCTATTTTATTGTAATGTAACAGTTTTTAAATTATTATTTTTACAATCTCTCAGATCAGTCAACCATCAAATAAACCCAAAAAGATAATTTGGATGGACTGTGGGATTCATGCCAGAGAATGGATCTCTCCAGCCTTCTGTCAGTGGTTTGTGAAAGAAGTGAGTTCTCACTTTTCCATTTAGATAATAAAAAAAATATAACTTTGGATACTTCAATTCTCTTCTCTATCATGGTACCAAGAATTATGTTTTTCTGTTCAAACATGATTTTCAAAATTAGTACATAGTACAGATATCTGTGGAGACCTAAGTCCAAATCACAGTTTGAGATATGGGGCAAAATTAATTAGCGCGTCAATTCCTCCACCTGCACCGTTTCCAAATCCTTCCAAAAATCCTTCCCTCTTTTTTTCCCACAGTGGCTTTTGGATCAAGCCTTTCTGTATCACAAAGTGATAATCCTCCTGAAATAAACCCTAAGCTATGGTCCAGCAATGTTCCATGTGTACAGAAAGTATCTGGCACACAGGTACTCTATCATGCAGTTTTCATACCCACAAGACTGTATCTATATGAAATACACTCTCACTGGATATCCTGTTACTTTGTAAGTGACAAAACATGTTTATCTCAACATATCGGGAGATCAAGTAGATGTTGGATACCATAACGATATCCAGGAGTGAGTGATTCCCTAATAATAGTTCTAAACTAGCTCTTTCCAGTGATCACCGCTAAATTATCTGCTCAGTGCTCTGTACTTTTTCTTTTCAGATTCTTCAAAATTACAAATCTGACCCAAAGATTAGAAGATTTCTGCAGCATTTGGATCTCTATGTCTTGCCAGTCCTCAATATTGATGGCTACATCTATTCCTGGAAAACAGTAAGTAGTGAAAATCCAGGAACTAGAATGATAGTGCACAACACGTTTTGTTACTTCTAGATGCTTTGATACTTTTAGTAATAGCAATTATATTTAAACAGAAAACAGTGACATTACCCACACAAATCCTTTCATGGCAGAGAGGTTTTGTTTCTTCTGGCAAATCAACAGCCGCTTGAGATTGCAGAGCTAAAAATTCCTAGCAAATGTCATGAGCATTGGGAAGACAAAACCACAGGATCAATTGCTTTTGAGTTTCTGGGTATCACAGGATGTGTCAAGATGGAAGGGATCCACAAGGATCATCAAATCCAGCTCCTGGACCTGCACAGGGCCATCCCCAACAGTCACACCATGTGCCTGACAGTATCATCCAAATGCTTCTGGAACTCTGTCAGGTTTGGTGCTGTGACCACTTCCTGGGGAGCCTGTTCCAGCGTCCAACTACCCTCTGGGGGAAGAACCTTTTCCTAATATCCAACCTAAACCTTCCCTGACACAATTTCAGGCCATTCCCTTGGGTCCTGTCACTGGTCATCACAGAGAAGAGATCAATGCCCGCCCCTCCTCTTCTCCTCACGAGGAAGTTGTAGCTGCTCCCCCTCAGTCTTCTCTTCTCCAGGCTGAACAGACCCAGTGCCCTCAGCCGCTCCTCATATGGCTTCCCCTCAAGGCCCTTCCCCATCTTCATTGCCCCTCTTTGGACCCTCTCTAACAACTTAATATCTTTCCTATATTGTGGTGCCCAAAACTGCCACAATATTCCAGGTGAGGCCGTCCCAGTGCAGAGCACAGTGGGACCATCCCCTCCCTTGGCCGGCTGGTGATGCTTTGACTGATGCACCTCAGAACATGGTTGGCCCTCCTGGCTGCCAGGGCATTGCTGGCTTATATTCATATATGGATTTAACTTCCTTGATAACAGCTCAAGGCCTGGTTGATGGAATTAAACATGTCTGGAAGAGTCATTCATTCTTCGCAAAAGATCTCAACTAGCAGATGGGTCTTAGCACCTTTGCATGGGACAGGAGGAGAATTGGTCAAATATAGGGCTATTTGGCTTTAGAATAGGTGTGCCCTGTGTCCTTTTCTGATATAGAGGATAATGCAAAATGTTAGTCTTCAGCCACTCACATCATGCTTCCAAGCTCTTGAGCCCAGTTGAAGCACCTTTTAATGCAGGACCTCAGCATGGCCCAATGTGGATCCTCAGCCTACCACCATGTGGATCCTGCTGTCTCCCAAGGTCTCCAGTAGGTTTGGGGCATACCACACACTGCACTTGGATGCACAGGTAATTCAGTTGGGAAGCTCATAAAGGCAGTGCAGTGAGGTCTGCAGAGAACCAAGTATAGCAGTGAGTATAGTAGGGAAGCAAGGAGCAGTAGCAAGGTTAGCTGACAAAAAAGAATTAATCTCCATGAATCTGAAACAAAGAGAAATTCAGCTATTGTCTCTTATCCCTCACAATGCCAAGTCTTGCTTAGGACTGCAACATGGCATGGAAGCAGTTGAGTATTACAGAAAGAGAATAATTAAAAAAAAAAAGCTCAGGAAGCTCATTTCAGGGTGCATGCAGGCTTGTGGCAGATGACAGCCTGGCTGTAGTATCACTAAGCTTTATCACCTTTGCACACAGAGTTGTACTTTTACAATGCAAGAGTTACTTAGAATGCAGAGGTCTAAAATAAAGGAGTCTTTACACCCTAATATTACTGGGCCATGTGGATCATTAAGTTGTTATTATGTATCAGAAGTTACCTTTCTTTAGGATCGTTTGTGGAGGAAAAACCGTTCTCCATATATGAATGGCACCTGCTATGGGACAGATCTGAACCGAAACTTCAATTCATCCTGGGGCAGTAAGTTTGAAGTATTTCAGATCATGAACACAAATGTAAAGCAAGGGTAATAACCAGTTTTGGAAAAAAAAAAAAAAAGATGAAGTCCTATAAGAAAGGAACACTCATCTAGTTGTTATCAAGACATAGGTAAAAAAAAATTCTGTTTTGTAACAGTGTTAACTCATTGACTTTCAACTGCCATTTATTTTTGTAAGTAGAAAATTGCTGCTTAAGTAGCTATACCTCTAATTCACTGCAAGAGCAAGCATCAGCTCTAGATAGCAATGTTAGCCATGAATTTCAAGGAGGCCCCAAAGCTTCCCTGGCAAGTGGTACACTGTGGTGGTGTCACAGTGTTTTCGTTGCAGCCATCCTGTAAAAGTGCATTAAATATTTCAGTCTTGTAGGAAATTTTAGTTGATACCAACAAAGTATAATGCTAAAGTCCCACTGAGCTGTCTAGTCTCCCTGCCCACATAAACACATGCTTTAACTCTCCAAGGTAAATTTCCCAGTTCCCTCTGAACTGGTGTTTTATGTCTCTCCTTTGATTCAGTTTTTGTATTCCTCTCCAGGTATTGGTGTTTCTTTTGACTGCAGCAGTGATATCTTCTGTGGCTCTGAACCAGAATCAGAACCTGAGACAAGAGCTGTGGCTGAGTTTATCAGAAGGAAGAAGAGTGACATTGCGTGCTTTTTAACGATCCACTCCTATGGACAGCTCATCCTCAGTCCATATGGTTCCACAACTAAACCTCCAAGTAACAATGAAGAACTGGTAGGCAAAACATTAATCTTCTACACTAATAGAGAGCAAGTACAGGCAGTAGCATGTGGCACAACCCTACTTGCCCTCTTGCCTTTCCTTCAGAAGAATGGGGCTTATTCAGGGCCTTGGCTCCCAAAGTTACTGATGCTCTGTGCAGTATCAGCAAGGTTTATTTGCCTCAGAAATTCCAATTCTTCAACTTAAATCAGGAAAATTGAATTATTACAGGTAGGGCTAATGCAATGCAAGGTAAATGGAGAACAGCAACATTTTTTGCTGCATAAAAGAATGAGTTTGCACTTTAGGACGCCAGCACATTATACACATATGGCTGTCATGATTGTGTCCAGGAAGGGTATTCCAAATGTGCTCTCAGGAGAATGGAAGTAAAGTAAGCACCTACTTCTTGGCTACTTCTCCCCTCGGTTTCTGAGTGTTCTGATTTGAGTTCATTCGCATGTGTATTTGTGAAGATTCCAGTAGCTGAAGCTCTAGTCAAGACCATGAGGGATTTGGGTTTGGACTTCATATGAGTCATTGGAGAAGTCATTTAGTTTGTCTATGGCTCAGTTTCTAAAGATGGTGGGATACAGAGCCTATGGCAACAAGAGTAAGAGGTCAGTCACTGCTGTAGTCAGTGCCAGTGTGCTATACAGTATGGACTCTTAATTCTCCAAAGTACAGCCCTCTAGCCTCACAACAAAGCAAATAGAATCCCTATCTTGCAGCAGAGTAATTTAAAAAATTTTAACATAATTTGCATTAAAAAAATCAAGGAGAATTTGTCCGAATGTTTAGAATGGGTTCCTTTAAAGACCTGAAATAATAATATCAAAACTTAAAACTGATCATATGTAAACGTAAAGCTGAAAGAGACAAAAATTTTGGTCCACTCAAAATAATTGCTGAAGATACTGCCACCGATGACAATGCTGACCCTGTTTTGAATTTTCAGATGCAAGTTGGAAAGAAAGCAGCTGCTGCACTGACAGGAAAGTATGGCACCAGCTATAAAGTAGGACCACCCTCTTTAATTTTATGTAAGTTTCTTTACCTTTCCCTTTGATTGCTCTATTTTTCAAAGAACAGAGTCATTCTTGTGTCACAGGCATCAGCAAGTAGTGTTTTGCTGAGTTTCCTCTTGAGTAATACTTAAAGGGCTGGTTTGGTGGAACATCTAAGCAGCAGTCATTTGAATACAAGGTAACTCTGCAGGAAGGAAGGAAGCATTGATTAGAGAAGCAAGTTCCTACATGGATTCCTCACAGATACATCACAGGGGACAGAAGGAGATCGGTTATAGATCATCCTGACCCTGCTGAAGTCAGCAGCAAAACCCTTATTTGTCTTGACTGAAATCAAGCAAAAATTAAAAGCCCAATCAGGGCTATAGTTACTCCATCAGACATTATCACATGGCAGCTGCTTGCAATTCTGTGTGAAATATATCAGTTTCAGCCTTGTTCCTAATAGACTGGATAGCCACATCACAAACACAACATGACAGCTGATACTAGTTGACAGCCTTTACAAAGAGGACTAGAGAGCCCTAGAGGCTGCCTGGTAAATTCAGTATTTTCCCAGTAAGCAAGAGCAGTAAGTAGTTGCCTCTAGAATCCATGTGGTTTGCATATTCCAGTGTCTGTCCCTCCCAGTCTTGGAGTGCCAGTCTCTGAGTCACCTACTGCATGAGCAATGCAGTGTAAAGTAACTTGCCCCTGCCTAGGGCTGTATTTTGTCAGGGTTTTTACTTATACTGAATAGGTAAGAAAAAAGATTTGTGAGTAAGATGAACAGCGATACAGGAAGCAGCCAGAAATTTTTCAGATTTGACCAATATCATGCTTAAAAACAGCTATAAATAGAAATTCCAATCAGTATCAATGTAGGAAATGAAGTACCAGAACAGACAAATGGCCAGTCCACCTTGTACCCCACACACAGCAAAATGCTAAAAACACAGAATCCCTGAAACTCATCTCCTGTTACTGAACAATACCATCTTATGAAGAATTGTGACTTAGGAAACTCCATGGAAAATTTTTAGTATAGTTAAGAATTGCAGCACCTAGAAACTCTGTTTTCCATCTCACAGTGATATATGGTTACTGCTTAGTCCAGGAATTCTGGTATAAACTTACATTAACTGCAGCAAGAAGTATTTTTTTAAAGAACCATGCTTAATACAAATATCTCCCCTCTTTTTTTTTTTTTTTTTTTTAAAATTCACAGACAATAACTCAGGCTCCTCACGGGACTGGGCCCACATGATTGGCATTCCTCTCTCCTACACGTTTGAACTGCGAGACAACGGTACTTATGGATTTCTTCTCCCCGCTGACCAGATCCAGCCCACATGTGAGGAGACTATGTTGGCTGTGACAACTATCATAGACTATGTATACCAGGAGTACTTGCCAGGTGGGGCTGTGGTTCTGACCTGCAGCAGCCTGGCCCTGAGCCTTTGCCTGAGTATTGTACTTACATGGACTGTTTCTTAAAAATGGCTTAGAGAGCACAGCAAGAGACTCACATACACCCCAAAGTACAGTGTCCCTTTGAAAATACAAAATTACATGAGCGGAGGAACTAAATGTCAAGTATTTCAATAAAGGCTCATCCCACATAATAAAAGCATCCACTTGTGGTTTTGATAGCTATGTTTTAAGGAAGGAGGAAAGGATGAAGAGCTGTGGCAATTTCCAAATCTTCACTTGCTGGCTCTGCTTACTCTTTAAGGGACTTTAAATCAGACATTCATGGGAAGTACCCATGGGGACAGAGCATTTTACTCCCTGGTTCAGAGGGATGTTTTCAGGGGCTTACCTGGACCTATGTAGCCCTTCTGTCAGCCATAGTCCTGCTCTGTCCCAATTTTCCCACTGCCTGAACCCACTATCTTCTGGGTCTTGCTGACCTTAGCAGGATGCCTGTGAGAATTTAATTCCTCAATTCCCACTACAGAAAATTGGATGGCTTCCTTGACTGCCACCTTCCTTCCCTAAGCTGCCACATCAGGGTTTGCTAGAAAATACAGGGCCTCAAAAGCTGGTGAAAGGTCATAACCAGAAAACCATCAAGAGCAGCCTGAAACAAGCTGTAAGATTTGATCTGGTACAAGTGTGTGGGGACAGAGAAGAGGTGAGGCTTTGTCACTTAGATGCAGTCAGATTAGTGAAGATAGGAGCTGCCCAAATCCTTCAAAAATTCAAAAGGGAAAGGGAAAAGAAAGATAAGAATAGGGTTCTATTTCTACAGAGCAGATTAGAGAGTGGTTTGTTTGCATCAACTTCCAAAACTGTGACTGGTGGTGTCAATTATCCTCCTTAAGTGAGACTCCTAAGGGTTTTCATTACAGATTGTACATAAAGAAAGTCTATTTGCAGAAGGGTTTCTTTCTTGTAAACCATTTTTGGGGCTGACTCTGCAGAAGGACTGGGGCCCACTTTTGTGGCTCTCCATCACTTGAGAGAGCCTGCCATCTGCAGGGCTCTGCCTGGGGTCCTCATACGAAGCTGAAAGCTCAGTGGAGTGCCAGAGGAAAGGAAACGTTTCACCCCATCGGGCAAGGACTCTCCATCTGAGCCTCTCAAAAGGGAATGCCAAGGAAAGAGCTTCTGTGTTGTTACAGCTAACACCAGAGGGTGCAGGGCATTCACTGAAATAGAGAAGGCCTATTTTAACCTTTACTCTGCTTTTGAATCCAGGAGTCCCACATCCCAGAAATATGTCCACCAGGCTTAGCTATTACAGATAATAGATTACTTTTTTGTCCTGAAAGAAAATGAAGAATCCAGGGGGAAAAAAAGTATGAAATGTCTCGTTTTCTTAGCAAATGTCAAGATTGTGCTTGAAAGTAGAAAGTGTTCTAACCAGAGATTTTTCAACAAAATATTTCCAACTTTGTGGAAAGAATGTTTCCCTCCCCACCCCCGACTGCATGAAGGCTAGTGATGGAAAACGTAGACCATGAGCTTCTGCCAGAAAACTACAGATAACAGACACTGAGAGAACTGAAACATTATGGTCTTCAACTTATAAAGTACAGCAAGACTCAGTAACTTAACTAAGATCTCATAGAGGGTCTGTGGCAGACTCTGGAAAATTCTTGTGGCCAATTCTCTTCCAATGCTGCCAAGAGAAGGATGTGTATCATTTCACCATGGTACTGCTAAAAAAAAAAAAAAAAAAAAAAAAAAAAGATACAATCTTGCAGTCATTTTTCCAAAGCACATCCTATTTTTTCTCTGTACTATTAGTTGACAAGTCTTAGCTCATGTGTTCATTGTCCATAGATTATTTCCAATTGGTGCAGCTAAATCTGCCTCACTCCTGCAGGTTCCCCAGAGCATTGTCTTTCCAGACCAACCACTCATTTACAATAAGACCCGTCTGTTGCTGGGCTCTGGAGCAGGTGTCACTAATTAGCACCTCCCCCCACAGGAGCATCAGTCCCCAAACTTACGTTTAGTTTAGGATGTGACTTGTAAGTCTTTATATTTGCATTTGTGTATTCTGTCTTTGGAACTGTAAGAAACAAGACAAATCCATCTGGCCCATGACTGTGAGATGTCTTGACGCAAGGGGGGTTTGACCACAAGTGTTTTGTAGCCATTTGCTGGCAAACAGCAGTGAAGCTCCCCGGTGCCACCAGCAGCAGATGGTAGAGCCCTCTGGGAACCAATGCCCACACGCTCATCTTGCCAAAGCCAACCCAAGCTTGGGCTGCCACGAAGTGCTTTCCAAAACTAACCCATGACTGCACTGGTACAAAAATACTGCCAGTCAGGACTTCTTCACTGGATTCAGAGGTGCTGCACAGCCTCCATGCCTAGAGCCAGAGAGGAAGGGAGCTGGTTTTGCTGATAGTGGGTATCTTTTGATGAAAATATTTACTGCTACAAGATACAACCAGGTGTGCCCTTAAGTTAATTGCAGGCTTCTGTGGAATGGCTCAGTCTCTCACTAGCTTCTCTTATTGTAATAACATCCATCAGGCATGGGAAGATACCCCTGCCCATGGCACAGAAGCAAGAGAATGAGGGGGGAATTTGCCTCCAGTGTTCCCAGTATTCAGGAGTCATAGAAGTGGAGAGGAAGCCTTTTACAGAAAAAAGGTAGATATTTGACAATAATAATTACCCAGAAGAATGTCTGCTGCTGTCAGCACACTGATTATGCCTGGGCTCACAGCTCCTTGGACCTGTTAGCAATGGCTCACCCTCTTTGCACAGTGAAGCCATAAATGAAGGTGTGTGAAAGCAGCACCTTGCCCCATTGCCACTGCAGAACAGACATCCTGCAATTAGTGCTTACAACCCGTTTCAGGAACTAACATTGCACAAGCAAGCCACAACCACTAAAAGGCCACCAAGGCTGCAACAAATTAATCTTTACAAACTTTACATGGCCTCTCTATTTCATACCCCCTCCCAGTTTGCTGACTTCTCTCTGTATCTTTTGTGCTTGTAAAAGAGTGTTATGTATGGCTGACAAAAATCGCTGCAGAGAGGGTGTATATTACCAACCATGTTTTGCAAGGGAAAGTTTTAAAGAAAAAAACATTAGGGATGTCTCTACTGAAACTCCCCTTAATTCACGAATCCTGGCTTTCCCCTCTCCTGCATTTCTTTATTGCTTTCTCTGACCCTTGACAGGTTTTGCTTTATGATGAAGTATGGAAAGAGCCACATTCTGGTTTCTTGCATGTTAGCAGAAGCACAGTATTATCCTACTGAGACTCCTATAGTGTTACTTACAATTCACTCATGCAAACACAAGCAAAACTAAAAGTTATGAAAAACTAGTAGAGTCTTCTATTCATTGTCATTTCTTCCCAATAATTTTACCAAGACCCATGATCCTTTCCTCTCTTTCTCACAGTTAAACACCCGTATTGTGGCTGCTGTGTTATATAATCAGTACTGAGAAGGTTTAATTACTTTTAGTCATTCAGGTTACTGAAAAAAAAAAGGACATTCCAATTCTGAGTAAGTGTTGTATATTATAATTGTTAACATTTTGTCTGTAATACAAAAGTAAAGATCGACAAAAGGGCTGTCAGTGATTTCATTCCATGTCACACAAGAAGCTCCTCTGTTAATTTCTCCTCCACACCATGTAATTTGATAGAGTCCTCAGGCTCCTAACAAGTTAGCAACACTGCCCTCATTAAGGAAAGTGAAGATATCACAAGGGAACTACAGTATTAGATGAGCGTGTGTAGCCTCATTTCTTAGAGCATCATATGATAGAAGAGCAGAAACCTACAGTTTTGAGGGGACTGTGGAAAACACCTCTGTCAGACGACATTTTGGGGAAGTACTTGCAATGCAAGTTGTTACTTCTTGATAATCTGCTTATGCTCCAAACATTATTCTTTTGTGCAGATTCTATTCCAAGTGGAAAACTCTCAGACTTGAACATCTTACACTGTGTATGAAAATTTTAAGGAGTCTTAATCAGAACAAACCCATTCAGAAACAAAGAAGGATGTTCTCAGTGTGTTACAGACAATTTTTCAATTGTAGTCTGGGAACCTACTTCAGACAGAAAGGTCAGGCTCTGAATCAAAGTATCTTGATCTGGTTTTGGGTTCCCTTTAGCCGACAAGCTGTAGGTATGCATGGTCCTGATAAGCTTTATCTCATTCCCTGTGTCTTCTTTTGGCTTTATCTAGAGCTGGGGTTTCTTGACTAGATGGGATGTCCAGTTATATCACACACAAAACCCACAGTGGAACCCATGCTGTGCTAACAATTTCCTTCCACATGAATGGCTGGCCATGGCTACTTTGTTTTCATTATTACTCAGCTGAGGGGGGACAAATAATAAGAAAAAATTACCAGGTGTTATGACCAGGCATTAGGATTAGCAAACTTGGGTATTCTTAATGAAGATCATGTCTGAAATGTATTTTATATTTCATGTATCTGTCTTCCAAAAAATCTGGATGATCCTTATTGGTACAAAATATAAACAAATCATTTGATGACAGCATGTCATCACTTGCTCCTGTTTGCCAAATCTCATGGAGTCTGTTTATGTGCATGGTAGGCATTCATAAAACCCACTCCTTTTCTGCAAGCTGGCAAAAGATATGAGTGCACTATTCAGAAGGCAGCCAGCGGTGAGCAGAAAGAGCAAATGTAATGTCATCCTCACATCTTTTAATTCATCTCAGTACACTGACCCAAGGAGCATCCCCATCACAGCTGCACTCTGTTGTGTGGGAGTGCCTCAAATGAAGGCAGTGTAATTTAGAGAGCAAATTAGGAGAGCAAGTTAGGATTGCATAGTACCAACTGCAATGGAAAATCCCTAGAGGAGGGAGAGAACTTGCAAAAATGTTGGAAATTTATTGTGCTGACAAAGATGGCTTTAGCAGTGGGAAAGAGGAAATGGATAAGTCATAGACGGACTAATAATGCCATTTTCCTAGCTTTAGCTTCTTCTGCATGAGTGTCTAAAGGAGACTGTCCTTGTTTTTATAATACAAACTTCCTGTTCTCAAACACCCATACAGCTTTACCTGGGAGAGTCCTGGAAAGAAAAAGGATTATTGATGAATGTTACTTAGCTCT